TGCAACAAACATTATTGCCAGCTTTTGGAAATAACTGCAGAATATCCAGGTGACGGGAAAAAAATTAATTGGGACACTGGGAAAAGAACAAATTAGCTCACTAAGTATGAGTAAGGGAACTAACTAAAACTAACAAGACTGAATAATACAGCTTGAAGGTGTACTTCATAGAATCTATACAACAGAGCTGATTTTGGGATATCTTCAGGTAGACCATTATCCACTCTATATCTCAAAGAACATCCTTTATTTCCTTGATTTTTTTCCACAGGTCCCCACCTCTGATGCTAAAGATTCTTTTATCATGAGCTCTGAATCAACTACTTAAGCCTCTAAAGAGCTCCACTCAGAGCAGAGCCTGAAAAAAAACTATGGTACCTTAGCAGTACCAATGACAAAGCTCCTCCAAAACCAATAGAGCTATTTGTATTTCCTCATCTTCTAAGGTGGCAGTGAATGGGTACTAAAAATCATGAAGCAGAATTCTCATTTAAGACTTTATTGGCTATGGTACTTCCCCATACATTTGTTTTTGTGGTTATAACTTGAAAAGAAATTATGTTCCAAATGTCTAGAAAGGTTTTTTAGTGGCTATGAAGACAATAAAGTGATACCTACAGTTGGCATACTGAGGAGCAAAAGGACTGCCTTCACTGAGTGAAACAGCTTCATGCCACCTGCACAAGCCACCTACACCCCACAAGCAGCAGCAGTGCACAGGGTGCTCCTGAATCTTTGGTTTGGTTAAATTTGAAGGGAATTCAATCTGTGTGCTCCAAGACCAATTTTTGATGTGAACCAAAGCATGCTAAGGGGGCAATTGCTGCTAATGCACACTCTTTGCACTAAAATATCACTGGCATATTGCCTGCGGGCACCAGCCTGCTCTGCTGGGTTCAGAAGCTGAGCAGCAAGTTAATGCTTCTGGTAGGACTTGAAAACAGGTTTACTAAGGCTCTTTGGGATTTCTAATGTAAGTTCAATACTCAGAGGGAAAGATTAGGCCTTCAGGTGTTTTACTGTAACGAGCTGCTGTTGAGTTCTGAGCGCCAAGGTAGGCAGAGAAGATTTCAGCAATATCTTTGAAACTAGAAAAAGAAATCAATCCCCTTCAAGTTTTGTACAGAGACTGAAAGTCTCATAAATTATCTGAGATGAAAAATTTCAAAAAATGAGGATGGAGACAAGAGTGTGAGACTGAAGTACATGAGCACACAAAATATTAGGAAAACTGAGGAAACCACTGCAAGGGCTCATTTTCTCACTATAAAATGCAGCAGAACTTGGAGGACTGAAATCTTTGGCTGATAGATAAAAACACAGTGAAGACCAGAGGTGCAAAGAACCATGAGTGACCTGGTTTGAACTTTGAATCCCAAAAGGGAAATCAGCAATACAGAACAGAATCTTCTCTAGTAACAGTAGGCCCTACAATCTTCTTGGTCCCCATCTGTTTCCTGCTGTACATTTCTGTTCTGGCACTGAAGCATTCCAACTGCCCAAACAATTGTTTTTTGCAGGTACAATCTAGACACAAAGAGAGTTATAAACGTTTTGGGGTTTTGTCATTTGGTTGCCTCTAAGAATTATTTTCCTGGCTTAGCAAAGACTAGTCCATGTCCAAACAGGTGGCACATAGAGTAAAAAAGACAGGGCAAGGTACACACAGAGCAATATCACATCAGTCCCTCTTGTCTGCCTTGTCCTGTACAGTTTCCTGTACCAGGACTAATACCCCACATGCTCTGGGCAGCAGGATCAGACCAGCACATTTATGCAGTGGGTTTCTAGCTGCGGTTCTCTGAAACGCTGTGTTTTCAGGACATGTTTTTAGATACAAACATCACTCTCCTACTATGGTTAACTCGAATGTACCTTAGCAACATGGCCAAAAAGGAGAAGCCTCAGGCGTACAGATAAGTTACCAGGCAGTGACAAGTCGCTGTGTGTCAGCTACCCTGCAGTGGCTATCTGCACTGATGCTGTTCAATGTCTGCAAGGAAAGACTTGTGGCTGTGATTTGCTTCTACCACAGACTGTGTGCACAGTTGCAGCACATCAGCTGATAGGAGGTCACTTCTTTCCCACTTTCATCCTGCCTGTGCTGCCTGTAGTATTTTGCTGGCTGATTTGTGCAGACACAGGCTGTGGATGGCTGGAAGCTTGTTTCTATAATTTCCCACTTTGGTCCTGTTTGAAGGACAGCCTGGCAGGGTGTATACACAGGCGTGGGTCTGGCAGAGGGCCCAGGGAAGCACCCGTGGAGTGGGAAGAAAACATTGGCTATGAATTAGTGGTTGGGCAGAGGTAGGGAAGAAGAAAGCATAGAGAGAAAAATTATGCATAGAGAGATATTTCTCCGTGGAGTGAGTACAACGAGGGTTCATAGAGGATGGAAGATAATAGCTGACAGTGTGATTGTGGTTCTGAGGGCATTGACTCAAAACAAAGTAAAAAGGTGTCATGTCAAGCAGGACCCTTGCCTCACTCCCTACAAAAGCATAAAGATATTGGGAAGAGAGAAACAAAACTTGCTTGTTCTATTCTGTTTTCTTCTTTTTCTCTGAAGGCTGGTACAGTACAATAGGAAATTTAGAAGCACAATGAAAAAAAATTTCAGCGATGTGCCTTCTCTGAGAGCAACCTGTGAATTAACTTCTGAAGTTCAAAACTATTTTACTGCTATACCTTTTTTTGCACCAAAGGCATCCTACAACTATTCAGCATTTCAAATCAGCTTATTTCAAAGCTTACAAAGCTTACTTGTTACAGTTCCCATTTGAGCCTAGTTAATGTTTGCAATAATAAGAAAATAAATTGTTTCAGAGAGAAAATAGCTACTGCAGATATTTGCTTGCATTGTAAAAATGATTGGGTCAAAGAACAACTTCCCCGGAGGGGAAAAAATAAAGAGATCCAAATAAAACCAGAGACATAAACAGAAACATGCATCACATCTCTATCCTGGCAACCAGCATGAGGGTTCAACAAATCTGCACCAAATGACATCCAGCTCAAGGTCCAGCATTTTGCCTTTATTATTTAGCTTTTTTTGATTAAAGTGTTGGAGTTTTTTCACTGTCACCTTTTCAGTGATTGAGACATGCCTTTCACAAATTAAAATGTCCTTTTTTCATAAAAATGCTGTTTATTATGGGGTTTGATTGCTGGCAGGTCACATGTATTTCAACAGAAAAACTGGCACTCTTTTCTAGCTCAAGTTGACTATATAAAACAGCATAGATCAAACCAAGCAAAGTCCCATGGGAACAATAGACAGGGAAACACACACTCCAGAATTTGCTGGATTATTTATAAATTATGATGACTTTTAATAGGTGGTTTCTGTAGCAGCTCATGGATCCTCTGTATACCTGAGATTCATGTTGTTACCTTTTTTTCCCCCCATTTTACTTCCTGGGTTTCTTAAAATATAAATTGGATATTTCTGCTTGTTTGCATTCCCTCCCCAAACATCAACAAAATTTCTGGAAATGGCACTAGCACTCTGGATGTATAAAGAAGCAACTTTTCAAATTAAACCATGCACAATTTGATTTCTCTTGGGGTCTTAATAACCACAACATCTTTCAAACATAAGGTACAAAGCTTAATTTCAAAAAAAGAAGAAAAAAGGCTTCAATTTGTACACGTCTGCCTTATTCCCCTACTAAAGACAAGGTCTCAAATTCTCAAAGCAACAAAGGTAGAGGCAGCTATTTAGTCATCTGAATTTGTTTATCATCATTGTTTACTATTTATATCCCAGTGGCATTGTATTATAGACAGTGCAGTATAAATGAAGACAGTCCTCTGCATTACACAGCTTACAGAGACAACAGTAGTTAATAAGAAAAAGGAAGGGCAGCATGGTCTCAATCTCTCAGCCTTTGGTGTTCATCACCTTTAAAAGAATGGCATTTGTGCTCAGAATTCTTGGTCATGTGTCTACCATGGAAAAAAGTGATAGTAAAATATTTAAGCGGCTAGACACTTTTACAGACTTCAATGCAGACCTAATTTCAGCACTTCTAGCTTCCCTGTTGTATGTGGAAAACACAGAACACTAGTTACAAATGTGGGCAGCATGTTTGTGGGAATCCTAAAGGCTGAAAGACAGTGGAAAAATAAGACAATCACATTTTATTAATAAATAAACTGGAAAGTACCTTGTATTATGAAGGCTGTTCTCACAAACTTTAGATATACAAGTCATGATTTCAAATATTTGAGGTTGCAGGCTTTGCCTCTGCATTTTTTATTGCTGCCTGTGAGTAGAGCAGCAGTCTCATCATTAGCACAGCTTTATGTTATTCTGCAATATGTCAAGAGCTGTATTCTTAAAACCTGCAGATTTGGAAGTATGAATCAGCAAAATTCTCACCTTTTTCTTTTACTGTTAGAGAATGGCTGAACAAACCACAAGCGTAATCCAAAAAAAAAAACCAGACTGTAAACACTCAATTGAACTGGTTGGTTTCTGGTTTACAGGCTCTTACATTCTGCTCCCACCAGCTGGAGGATCAGATAGGGCATAGATAAAAAAAATTATTTGGAAAAATAATTCAGTTAATTTATGAAGGGAATGGTTTGTTTTTTACCCCTCAGGAAAAAGGTTGCTTAAACAAAAGAGGAACAATTCTTCTGAATATAGGAGAAGGATATTATATTTTTTCATAAACTCCCTTTCTCATCACTTTTCCCTTTTTACCTTTGCTTTGTACCACTCTGTCTTGTGGGCTGCTATTTTGTTAAGAGATTATAGATATACTTTGCTGCAGAATACATTACTATGAGGAAAAGCCACATGAACACTAACTGTGTGGAAGAGAGGACTGAAGAAAAGCAACTCAGAGTCAAGCTGTGTAATGAATCTCCATGGGAAACATACGTAATTAATTAAACATTGAAAGAGAAGACTAAAAGCTGCCAGCTGGGTCATCAAGTAACAATAAAAAAACCAATAAAACAATAAAAAAAGATCCAAGAGGGCAACTCACCAACTCAGTGAGTGAGGGCAGCTTCTCTGTTCAGCTAAACCAGAGATAACTTTCACTGCTACCCTAATACATCTCAAGAATTTGCAGGATAAAATCTGCTCAAAAGCTTAATTCCCCCTCCTGTCAGAATTTTCTCAGATTCTGCCTTTCATATATGAAGTGGTTCCTCCCTCACCAAGCCACTGTGGCCTTAAATGCCTCCAGACTGAGCTCTATTATGTATTGTAGCCGAGCATACCTAGTAAACAGATACATGAGCCAAACTAATGATCAGGTTTATAAACACCTGCTGCACTGTCATCTCCTCCGTTCTCACACATACCACCTGTTCTCCAGCTCATCTGGTTTGGAGTGTTTTTTCCCCCATCCATCTGTTATACCTTCCACTGTCTTCACTGGTAAGCCCTGTGCTGCATCACTGTATAGTAAGCAGCACAAAATCATACTTGCCAGCACTGAGCTATTAATTAAGTTAGCAGTAGTGGTATGTAGCAGTAGTATGACCCTGGCTCAGTACAATTTTCACCTGAACCAGCTGAACACGTTTGCCTAAAAGAAACAAAGGTCTCTCTTCCAGCATTTTATGCATTCACAATTTTTATTCATGGCACAATTAACCATTTCTACCATTACAGACAGTGCTGGACAGTTTTATTTGAACAGCAGTCTGTTTTTCCTGCACTGAGCAGTAAAGCACTGACATCTTGGTAAGGAACAGCAGACAGGCTTGCTTTTGCTCTGTAGTGCCAACAGCTCCCTGCAATGCTGCAATAACTATGCTGTGACAACCAGTAATGACACCAGCCAGAAGAATCTGAAACATACTGCAGTATTGTTGAAGTGAACAAAATATTTAACTCTGCAATTTCTTTACAGAAAACCTGGCATTGAACCCAGATCAGCTGCTTGCTGTGAGCAGGAGCCTGTGCAGCAGCACAGGGCTGGACTGGGACAGTGACCACTTGGGTGTGCAAAGAATTGTGTGTAAAGACTGGGGGTTTTGGTTCCCCCTAGAAAGCAGAAGACTGTCCCTTGCATGCCACACATGATGTATGCTTGCACAGGTATGCATAAAGAAACCTGCCTTTCTCCATCTCTCCCAGTCAAGAGAGATGAAGAATGTGTGTTCATCACACAGCTAAGGTGCCAAGTAAGCAAGTGGACTATTTGTAACCCTCCTCTTTTATCTAAAAATACTTAAGCTATGCATATTTTCTTTGTTTTATACTTCAATGCTACATTTGCAGGGAGGAATTTCTCCTTCCCTGTGTCTGGACATCTTGATTTATGAAGGAACTAACAATTTTTCTTAAGTTTGACCTTAATTCTAAAGCAATCTGACTGTTTGAACAGGGGTTGAAAAAGGCTAACAAGGAAAACACAGGAGCTTTCTGGAACCTCTGTCCATCCAAACATTTCACTCAGCACTGGCTGTTGCCACAGCCAAGTAAATCCCAGTTATCTACTCCCTTACCAGCTCAAGAATGTATCCTACAAAATATGTATAATCAGGAAAATAACAAACTGCTACATTTAATCTCCTCATACATACACTTTGTACACACTTATCCAAGGCACTGAATCCCAAGAACCTTACAGTTAAAAACTACTTCTTGATTTCTGGGTTTGATGTCTAAGGCTTCTTCATCAGGAACCTGCTCAAAATTATATAAACAGAGGAAATAAAACAAAGGGCCTCCAGACTCCAAAGACTGGTTGAATTCTCCCTTACAGCAAATTTGTGATCCATGTTTACATTTTTCATACAGAGCTACTGGCACTTTTGGAAGTTCAGTTTATATCTTGACAGCTCCAGCTGTCAGGTCAGTGCTACAGACCAAGAGAATTTGAGAGGGTCAGGGCCTTCTCTCCAAGTCATGGTTGTTTCAAAAAGTCTGTAGCCAGTTATACAGAAATAGAATGCTCCCTTCATGAAGTACAGCAGTACAGATCATTTCCTCTTAATTAGTGAGGACATACAGAATTCTGACACTTTCTTTCTTGTGTACTCCATCCCATTTGTATCAGAGATTTCTGTTACTTTTCACAGGGCTCTCACTCAAGCTCTTCAGGCTTCTTTCATTCTCATTGCAAAGACAGAACAGCAGATTGCTTCGTAGGAAAATGCACGGAAAATAAAATGTGCTTTCCCTGAAGCACACAGCCTGCTCCATGGGGGAAAAAGCTAAATGCCTCTGCACTGCCAGTAGGTGCCTAATACAAAGCAAAGTATGCAAAAGAGAACTAATCTGCTCTACAAACTACTGGCACAGATGCAAGTATTGCCCTGTGCAGGTATCCAAAGTGCAATGCTAGAGTCAAACACATATCTGCCTGCAGCTTTGCCAGAGTCACAACAGCAATGCTTTTGTCTCCTCTGCTTTGTTTAATTAGTGTCACATCCATTACTGAGCTGCAGCAAAACTGACATTTCGGGAAACAATGTCTGGCTCTTGCTAATCAGAAGGAGAGCTGTAAATCTCACAAGGAGAGTGGTTTTAATTTGTGCCTATGGGATTCTGATATTGAAATACTGGCCTTAAATATCTGCTCCGTGGGGAGTTACTGCTGCACATTAATTCTGAACTTACCAGTTGCTGAGCTGCAATAAGAACAAAAAACAAGAGTGATGAGTGACATAACACTAAGTGACATGGCACCAGAAATGCTGTAGCAAGTGCAGGAGTGCACTCACCCATGAAGCACACCACACCAATATTCAGCCCCTACACACAGCCTGTACTATCCACTTGGGGAAGGAATTAGCTTCAGACAGCCCAGCTTCACCAGAGATCCAGTCCTACATACACAGAGAGATAGTTACATGGACCAGCAGCACAGCCCATCAGAGAGACTCGGGAGGTCACCATCCAGTGTGCCACTTCATGCCTTATTTTCTTTCTTTGCCTATAATGACTCATACTGGGGCATTTCATTGAGTCATCTTCCATGCAGCCTGTTACCACAAAAAAAAAAAAAAAAAAAAAAAAAAGGAAAAGTCAGACTAACTTGGGAAAGTTTTCTGAAGTGCCTCTCTCCAACTTAACACGCTTTTTGATTATGCGGCTTCCTATTGTTTCTGTGAGGTGACATGAGATCATCATGATTCATTCAAGTTGTCCATGTTTCACTACATTTACTGCTGGAAATGGCACTCCAGAATGCAGATGCCCTTCAAATTCCACAATCAAAGGAAAAACTTCTGCACCATATTTAGCAAGTCTCAAATCCCTCTTTGCTGTGGCCCTTCATAGAGGAACTTTTCCCAGGGATGGCTGCAAAATGGATTGCTGCTTATTTTTGAAGGTGCAATAAGACAGTTTAAGGATCTGTACATTCTTTAGAAGTCTTGGTAATATACATACCATTACATTTTTGCTTTTAAATAAGCCTGTAAAAAAATGAAAAAATTCAGATTTCCCACATTTTATATGCAAAGTCTTTCTAATATCAAATGGTAGCAAAAATATATTTGGTAAATGCAAAATTACAAGGATGTCTCAATTAGATGGAGACAGAAGCTCTCCTTTTTGCATGAGATAAATATTTATATTCATATAAGCTTCTATTATGATTCATAAACATCTCAGATTTTTTTGCATCCTTGTGGCAGCTTCCTAAGGCACAGTAATGCTGCCATGTCTGTTTCAGAGAGGAGGAGCTGAAACACTGAGGTTCATCTCAGAGAACTTTGAGTTTCTTAATCTGAATTATTAACCCGAGTTCCTCTCATCACAAAGCAAAAGAGAGCAATCACTTTCAGAGTGACAGTGGTCCTTCCTAAAGTAAGCCAATTGAAATTACACTCAGACATTATCTCACCCTAAACTAGATACATGGAGAAATTGGAGGGCTAAAGGATATAAGACACTAATTTTGTTCCTGTGCATAGGGACTTTGTTAACAAAGAAATTATGCAACAAATCATTATTTTGACTTCATATTTCTCAAAAGTCAAGCCCATATCTTAACTACTGAGTAACATAAAATAGTGGGCAAGACAATAAAATAAGCATTTGCTAAAATTCTTCTTTGATGGATGTGATGCAATAAGGAAATTACAAGATTAGTTTAACCTAACAATAATTCCACAGCACAGCTATTACAGATGCAGACCAAAGTAGCTTGTTTGAAAATGCTTTATAGGTACAATGATGTATGAAAATATTATTACATATGAGAATGGTAGTCTAGTGACAGGGCTGAATACCACAAACAACTCAAAATTGCATGCAGCAAGTCATCAAACACAAAGATGGATCATGCAGTTGTTTTTCCTTTTGAATCCACTGGAACAGGAAATTAAGCAGTGAAGCCAAAATCCAGTCTGGATTTCTGGACTAAAATGTACCAACAAATCAACTAAAAATGCGGATTTAAGGAACCATGTTGTTCATTTGTCAAACATAATTTTATTTGTTTTTCTTTACTTTGTTTCTATTTCCTTGAAATATTCCCCTGTCAAAAATTTTTCCTGGAACTTCAGCATTGAAATATGTCAGCTTTCAAGTAATACAAGGGCAGGAGAAATGAGCTAGCATTCAAAGAGAAAGGAGAATGAAGCCACAAGAGCATAGTTGAGTTTTAAGTGTGTTACAGTCATCTTATAAAATACTCATCAGTTTGGCTAGTTGCACTGTAGTTTTTCCCCAAGATTTCTTTTCCAGAAGAAATGAAGTGTGATACTGTGGGTTGTGTTCAAAGTCAGCTGCTATCACTGATTTCAGTAGAGCTGTTCAGAGTCTAAAGCTAAGTGCAGAATTGTGGTCCATCTTGTATAGCTAAATGAAAACAGGTGTTTAAAGGAGACAGAAAAAGGGTGGCCAAACCATTGGTCTATTCAAACTAGTATTAAATGTATTCCACATTTTGGAAGCTGAGCCACAGCCAAAGTGTTTTGGGTTTTACATAGTGAGTGATTCTATTTATTTCACTTCTACAATGATTTGACAATAACCAAGGTAATCAATTATGAATTTCAGGCAAAGTTCTGGTTTCTGCTGGACTTGTTTTTGTATGCTGTGGTACAGCTGAGAAACACAATGAGGAATACTCCTTCTTTTTCTTTACCAAACCTGGCTGG